AAAGACACCGAGAGCATGGAGTTGCATTCCTGATGATCTTGGCTAATAGCCATTGATGGACCTATCCTCCCTGAATTTATCTAATTCTTTTTTGAACCCAGTTATAGTTTTGGCCTTCACAGCATCCCCTGGCAATGAGTTCCACAGGTCGACTGTGCTTTGTGTGAAGTAGTACTGCCTTTTGTTTGTTTAAACCTGCTACCTATTAATTTCATTATGTGACCCCCTGGTTCTTGCCTTATGTGAAGAGGTAAATAACACTTCCTTGTTCACTTTCTCCCAACCGTTCATGATTTTATAGACCTCTATCATATTCCCCCTTAGTAATCTGTTTTTTATAATGAACAGTTCAAGTCTTTTTAATCTCTCCTTATATGGAAGCTGTTCCACACCCCTAATAATTTTTGTTGCCCTTCTCTGTACTTTCCCCAATTCTAATATATCTTTTTTGAGATGGGGTGACCAGAGGGGCGCACAGTACTCAAAGTGTGGACATACAATGGATTGAAATAGGGGCATTATGATACTTTCTGTCTTATTATCTATTCCTTTCCGAATGGTTCCTAACATTGTTAGCTTTTTTGACTGCTGCTGCACATTGAGTGGATGTTTTCAGAGAACTATCCACAATGACTCCAAGATCTCTTTCTTGGGTGTTAATAGCTAATTTAGACCCCATCATTTTTATGTGTAGTTGGGATTAGGTTTTCCAATGTGCATTACATTTTGTTGCCCAGTCACACAGTTTTGTGAGACCTCTTTGTAACACTTTGCAGTCTGCTTTGGACTTAACTATCTTAAGTAATTTTGTATCATCTGCAAATTTCACCACCTCACTGTTTACCCCTTTTTTCAGATCATTTATGAATATGTTGAACAACACTGGTCCCAGTACAGATCCTTGGGGGACCCCCGCTATACCTCTCTACTGTGAAAACTGACCATTTATTCCTACCCTTTGTTTCCTATCTTTTAAACCAGGTATTGATCCATGAGAGACCTTTCCCTCTTATCTGATGACTGCCTACTTTGCTTAAGAGCCTTTGGTGAGGGACCTTATCAAAGGCTTTCTGAAAGTCCAAGTACTATATCCACTGGATCACTCTTGTTCATGTTTTTTAATCCCCTCAAAGAATTCTAGTAGATTGGTGAGGCATGATTTCCCTGTTACAAAAGCCAAGTTGACTCTTCCCCAGCATATTGTGTTCATATATGCATCTGATAATTCTGTATCTTACTATAGTTTTGACCAGTTTGCCTGGACCTGAAATTAGGTTTATAGACCTGTAATTGCCAGGATCCCCTCTGGAGCCTTTTTAAAAATTGGTGAGATCTTAGATACCAGGCATCTGGTACAGAGGCCAATTTAAGGGCATGGCTACAGTTGCAGATGTAGAGCGCTGTGAGTTAAACCCGCCTTCATAGAGTGCAGTAGGGAAAGCGCTGCAGTCTGTCCACACTGACAGCTGACAGCGCATTGGCGTGCCCACATTTGCGGCACTTGCAGCGGTATTGGGAGTGGTGCATTATGGGCAGCGAACCCAGCACGCAAGTGACTGCAACATGCTTTTCAAATGGGGGAGGGGAAGCATGACAGGGAGTGTGTTGTGTGTATGTGGGGGAAGAGAGAGTGCATTTTTGGGGTGCTGAGAGTGTGTCAGCATGCTTTCTTGTAAGTTAAGACCTCCCTTCCCCGCCTCTCTCTCACTCATTCAAAGCAAACAGTAAATGTTTGCTTTTTCTCGGAGCTGATAAGCAGCCAGCTTCTCCCACAGGGAGCTTTCAATGGGCATTTCCGCATTCCTGCAGCCGATTTCACAACAATGACAAGAGTGGCCACTTGACTTAAGGGGATTGTGGGACGTTTCCGGAGGTCAATCACAGCACAGTAATGCAACACCTCGTCCACACTGGCACTGCGGCGCTCCAGCGGGGGCGCAGCAAATGTTATTCCACTCGCCAAGGTGGAGTATCAGCAGCGCTGTAGCCACGGAGTGAGAGTGCCTTGCCAGTGTGGACGGGGAGTGAGCTAGGGTGCCCAGGGCTGCTTTATTGAGCTGTAACTTGCAAGCGTAGCCAAGCCCTAAGCAATAGGTTACTACATACCACAGTTAGTAGCTCTGCAATTTCATATTTTAGTTCCTTCAGAATTCTTGGGTGAATACCATCTGGTCTTGGTGATCTATTAGTGTTTAATTTATCAGCTTGTTCCAAAACCTCCTCTATTTACACCTCAAACTGGGGCCATTCCTCAGATTCGTACCTAAAAAAATGGCTCAGGTGTGGGAATCTCTCTTGCATTCTCTGCAGGGCAGACTTATGCAAAGAATTCATTTAGCCGCTCTGCAATCACCTTGTCTTCTTTGAGTGTTCCTTTAGCAGCTATGTCATCTAGGGGCCCCACTGATGGTTTGGCTGGCTTCCCGCTTCTGGTGGACTTTAAAAAAAATTGCTCTTAGTTTCCGTGCCTTTGGCTAGTTACTCTTCAAATTCTTCCTTGCTGGCCTAGGGTTCCACGCTTGACTTGACAGCGTTAATGTTCCCTTCTGTTTTTCTCAGGGGGATTTGACTTTAAGTGGTGTCTTTTTGTCTCTTAACTGCCTCTGTTGTTTAGTTATGGTGGCATTGTCTTGGTCCTCTTACTGTTATTGTTTTAAACTGCACTTACGGTACTGGACAGAGGGGCTATGAGGCTTAATTGGTTAAGGCTTGCCCAGTTCTTTAAAAAAAAAATGTAAAATGCTCTCTAGCTGCTAAGTAGGATGATGATTACTTTCCCCCAGAGCTGTTCCGGATAAAGCTGTAGCAAGCCCGTGGAGGAGTAACCAGGAGTGTGGGGTTGATTCATCCTCATTAAAAGGAAAGAAATACTGGTGTGGTGGAAACTCCTGCAGTTGGGAGGGGGAGAAGGTGGAGAGAGTTTTGGGCCGAAATCCTGGAATGACTCTGTGCTGTTTTTTCTCAGGATGATCATCATCGTCACCCGTGGTGAGGAAGCCCTTCCTCCCGCCGCCTGGGTTTTATTTTGGTTTGGCTCTGGGGAATGAGACTGGCACGGTGAGTGACTGCAGCTGTAGAAAGGGTGGGGCCCGAAGTGCACCTGCCCCTCCCCCAAATAGGTGAGGCACGGGTGGGTAGAAGGAAGGGGGGGGGGCGTCCTCCGCTGGCACCGCAAGGCAGGAGCGAGCGGAGGTGGGTGAAATCTGCATGACGACTCCCAGGAGCACGGAGAACAAAAGGAGAATTCTTTCCACGAGTTGGTGGTCAAAACAACCTGCCTTGGCTGGGTCCCAGCTTTCCATCTCGGCTAGGCTCACCTCCGTGTTAACCCTCTCCTGCCTCTCTCCCGCCGCCCTTTTGCTATGTGCAAGGGGCTGTATTTTTTCATGGCGTGCTTGCTGATACTTGGCTGCGCCCTGCCCTGAGCGCTCTCTGAATAACTCTGTGGCAGAAGTACGAGTCCTCCTTACTCGCGGTGCTCCTCTCGCTCCCGGGCTCTAGTCTTTGCTGTTGCCAGCTCGCTGCAAGGAGGAGCAAACTCCGCCAACTTGATTTCTTCAGCCCTCTTCCCCCCCCCCCAGCTTTTTTTTTTTTTTTTTTTGTAATGACTCTCCCCTGCAGCTGTGCATTTCCAGCCAACCTGCTGCAGCTCTCCCGCCCGACGTCCTGACCCTCTGGAGGTGCACTCTGACTCATACGGACACACGCCGCGCAGCATGCTCAGGGTCTGACCCAATTAAGTTACACTGGGGTAAGAGATATCGCAGCGTCCCAAGAGACGGGCACAACGTGTTTGAAGAAAGCTCTTGGGGTGGGGGATAAAACCAGGAAAGCAAAAGAGAGGAGCTGGGTTCCTTTAAGAACCCTCCCCCCAAATCTCTCTCCAGCCTGCAAATCGTTGCTATCTTCCCTTCCTCTTGGGTGTTTGTTCAGAACTGATAGGAGGATCCCTGCTGCAGCTCCCGGCCCAGAACAGCTGTGGAACACGTTGCTGCAGCCAGCAACCAGGGCTAGAATTCAGCTGCAAGAACTCAGGGAGCTCCCCACTTCCACTCAGCCTGACCTCCCAGCGTGAGAGAGACATAAGTCTTGAACGACACCGGAGCTCTTTCATTCCCTCTGACTCCACCAGCACCGTGAGATGTACCGCAAGCGCCTTCTTTAACTACTGGGAGCTCACTCATTCTGTCTAGCCCGCCCCCCATTGCAACCAAGTACCCCAGGCTCCCTCTTGAACTGCCAGACAGGCTCATCCCTGTTTAATTCCAGCAGAACCCATCTTGAAGATCCCCATCTGGAGATCTGAGATGCCACTGGATTACATGTTTTCTCTGGGGAGTGGTGGGAGAAGGTGTCCCCCCCCCCCCCCCAAACAGCTAGCCAGCAGGGCAAGGACTAGCCATGGAGTGCTGCAGAAAGAGTTGCCTAAATAAGGTTGGTTTGTTTGTTTTAAAAAGCAAAACTAATAAATGCATGAGAGATTGAGACGCTGCAACTGCTACATTTGGTTGGGATGGGGAGTGCACCCCAGACATGAGTGTAGTTTGAGGGGGGCCAGGGGGCTGTTGCCCTCTCCCAAACTGCAAGCCTTGGGCAGGTGCAGAATTTGCTCCCCTTCCCCTGTGTGGCCCCATTGGCCTGACTGGAACTGCCCCCCTCTCACCCCAAATATAGAAGTCAAACTACATCTGTGACTCCAGAGTCAAAAGTGAATCCTTCTCCCCAACTCCCTTTTACTGTCAGTTCAGCAGCTTAAATGTTGCTTATTCAACCGTATTTATTATTCCCTTATTCATTTTCTTGCCTTTTAAAAACCAAAATAAAGTATTATTAAAAATAACCTACAAATGTATAACCGTTCCCACAGACACAATGAAACTTGTCAAAGAAACACCTATAAGGAGTTCTGTCTCGCTCTGCTCTGTATACTTTATCCTGGGTCTAAAGTTCACCATATATTGATTGTTCTCAGTTGTTAAATAAAATGGTTCAACACTCACCTCAGTGCTGATGAGAGGCAGGTACCAGAGAGACATGAAGATCAGTCTGAAATTCATACCGACTCTGAGCCCCAAAAGTTCCAGACACATTGAAGGAGAGACTTTAAAAGAAATAATAAATTCCCACACTTAGGCAAAGAGGTGAGAGAGGCAGTCTCTGCTTACAGTTTCGCTCCAGCCTTGTCTCCTTCACAGAGTGCTCCGCACTTCATTTTCCCTTCCAAGTTATTTTCTCTAGTCTCCCACAATCATGGAGTGGGGAAGAAAGGGTTAAAAAACAGACACTTTATTTTTTAAAAGGTAATTCTCGGTTACTTATCGGACCCTTTCTCTGCCTCATCAGCCAGCAGGAATATAGGAGAGGAGTATAAATAAACTAAAAAGGCAGTCCCCCCAAAAATGTATGCATCCAAAGTCTGTTTTCCCCCCTCTCCACAAGAAATCTTTCAGTATTTCCTTTTATTGGATGGTCCACACACTTATCTTTTTCCTTCTTAATTTTTGTTCTTTTTAAAAAAAAAAAAAAAGTCCCCCACAAAAAGGTAAAAATGATTTGCCGTGTTTTCCAAAAAAAACTAGAAAAAGTCTGAAACAAAGTTTTCCTAAATCTTTATACAAAATCAGAAAATAAATCTTCTTTCTTAATTTTTTTTTTTTTTAATGTTTTTCTTCCTCTGGCATATTTTTTAAAAAATAAAAGTTGTTTTAAGTTGAATTTTTGTCTCTTAAATTATTTTCTGGTTTCAGTGTCTTTTCTTTCAGAATGTTGCTGGTAGTTTTGCTGTATGTGAGGTCTGATTGGTTTGGTTTTGCAGACAGGTGAGCAAATGTCTTGGCTGGATTCTGTGTGTGTGTTGAGTCTTGATAAGTCTCAGCCGCGCTGCTGCTGCTGCCTCTTATGCTCTGTTGCAACAAGAAAAAAGGTAAAATCAAGTGGGAGGAGAGAGAGCAGCAGGGAGAGAGCTGGTGGGTCTTTATTTTAGTCTGCAAGAAAGAGAATAAGGTGCCACCCTTTCAGCTGTTCTTTTAAAGGAGACGAGAGAGGGGTGGAGACAGCCAGCAGCAACTCCTTTCTTGGCTGTATATCAAAGACAGAGAAAAAAAAAATCTAATAAGGCACTGACAGTTCAGTACTCACCAAAATAAAAAAGACCCTCAATAATAAACATAATTTATATTGGTGATGTCCCTACGCTCACATAGACGTGGGGAGAGAAATTCCTTCAGGAATGAGAGAGATCAGGAGAAAGATATTCCCAGCAGTGCAGTTGAGTTTTTTGGCCCAAGACTAAGACTGTCACAGTTGCAACCCTCAGCATTTTTCCCCCTGCCCTGCCATCCCGCTTGCTCTGGAGGAGATGTCATTTTAATATCTTCAATCTCTTTGTGTGCAGAAGAAAGCCAAAAAAATTCAAACATTGTTACAACAGAATTTGTGTTGTTCTTGGCACTAAAAGGAATTTTGCCGCATGATTATCTCCACATGTAATAAACATCCAAAGGGAAATTAAGCAAGGAGGTATTTGCTGGGGGAAGCAAGAGGGTTAGTTAACAGGTGAATTCAAGATAAAGTCATATCATGACTTCTCGTAAACTCACATGTTCTCTTCACGAACAAAATGACACACTTAACAAAACACACACACACAAATCACACGTGCTTTCTCACACACTCATGTACTCTGACAGGTTTCAGAGGAACAGCCGTGTTAGTCTGTATTCGCAAAAAGAAAAGGAGTACTTGTGGCACCTTAGAGACTAACCAATTTATTTGAGCATGAGCTTTCGTGAGCTACAGCTCACTTCATCAGATGCATACCGTGGAAACTGCAGCAGACTTTATATACACACAGAGAATATGAAACAATACCTCCTCCCACCCCACTGCTATTACCAGCAGGACAGTGGGGTGGGAGGAGGTATTGTTTCATATTCTCTGTGTATATATAAAGTCTGCTGCAGTTTCCACGGTATGCATCCGATGAAGTGAGCTGTAGCTCACGAAAGCTCATGCTCAAATAAATTGGTTAGTCTCTAAGGTGCCACAAGTACTCCTTTTCTTTTTACTCATGTACTCTCTCTTTCAAAGACATTACCCACCCATGCTCTCTCCTACACACAAACTGCATGCTCTTTCTCCAACGCCCTCACTCTTGACATATGCACAACCATTTGCGTATTCTGTCCGAGTCACGCATTCAGAGATACTCACAGGTGCTCTCTCACACTATAAACACAATTAGACTCCCATAATCACATACTCATGCATCCTGACAGACACATCCACATGCTCTTCTCTCTCACACACACACACTCACACATTTGAAGTGAAGGTGCTTGCTCTTGTGATTTCTCTGATAGAAAGAGAATTTCAGCTTCAGAACCCAGGGGTCCCAGGACACTGTATGCAGCAGAGAGAGAGAGAGAGATCCTGATGGCACTGTGACAGCCTAGCCAAAGACCCCAGCCATTCTCTCCTCAGCAATGGTATGAACATAGCAGCAGCTATTAGAACCCCATTCGCTGAGGGAAGGGAGGCTGGTTAGGATGCTGAAGTTACTCTTCTAGAAGTGCCCTGTGATCTTTAACTTCTCCATGATCAGCAACCACAAGAGATGGGCAGAAAGGTGTGCAGTGCAATGTCTCCTCTGCAGTGTGAGGCCCTGGACATCACAAGTCCTCCCAGCTTAGCTATTCATACCTAAAGGGCCTGACTTTGAGCTCATATTCTCTGGTGTAAATCAGGAATCTGTGGAGTACCTGACTGCAGAATCAGATTCACTGTATCTATGTCTCCCATAATAACACAGCAATCCCCTCTGCTCCCTACTTCCAAGAGAAATGTAACCTAACGCACAAAAGCATAATATTCACATTGAAAGGCTGGGCAAAGCTAAGTGCCCTGAGTTAGCAAGGTACATGGGCCGCCTTCATCCTAAACCAGGAAGCAAGAGGCCAGATTCTCTGCTGGTGTAAAGTCACCGGAGCTATGCCAGTTTACACCAGCTGAGGATCCAACCCAGGGCACACAGGTGCAGGAGGAAAGGCTTGGGATGGAAAGGTGTTGAATCAGACCCAAGCCTAATTCCAGAACTGAAGCATGGGAAGGCAGTGTCTGATCTACCCTCTGGCATAGTGCCACCTCTGCAATATTTCACAGAACTTAAAGGATCTTTCTCTTAGATCTTCCCATCCCTTTAGTCACACTCCCCACTAACACCCTTACTGTTACTGCTCCCTTCATTCTCTAGGCATGGTCCACTGACCATCCGAGCCGAGTTCACATCACATCAGTCATCACACTTACGAACATACAGGGTCAAATCCTCAGCTAGTGCAAATGGGCATACCTGAACTGATTTCTGTAGAGCTACTCTGATTTACATCAGCCAAGATTATGGCCCATAGACCCCACTGGCTGTCTCTACTCAGCGAGGGAGCTGATCAGCACTTTAGGTACATCAGTCAAAGTGAGTGGGGCTAAGGACTAAGCTGGCAGGAAGTGCTGCATCTTTTCTCTGAGACATGAGACATTAGGAAATGTTGTATGACTCTAGGGTCTGCTTTTGGGGGACTGGCTTTTCTATATCCAGCTAAATTACATGTGAGGTCAGATGGAAGTAAAGTTATTTATTTTGATGTGGATGATGCGGGGGAATTTTTAGAAGCTCAGCAACAGTGAAAAGCTAATCCCAATTGAATCTTTAAACGACAAGGAAGAGGATGTTTGGAAGTTGACTAATCATCCACCTGTAACCCTGGCTGAAAATAGAACTAAATAATATTCAGATTTGCTTGGATTTCAGAGGCTATTTATTTGTCTTTTCTGTTTTTAACACAGGGACAGATTTTTCTCTTGTGAAAAATCTTAAAGGTACTGGGCCAAATTCAGATTTGGGCAGATGCAACTCCACTGAGCCTAATACCAGTTCATTGGGGCTATACCTGCTTACCCCAGCTCTGAACTTGGCCAGTTCTCTGTTCTCTTTATTTCAGTGCTTTTATGAAATAGGGTTGCTGCTCACCTCATTATTTCCAGAATCGTCACCTTTCTAATGAGGCGATCGCACCTTTTATAAGGACTGCTGTGAGACATTCATTGGACTTCAAAGCACTTTTGAGGTGGTGGTAATGTCATTATGTTATGTCACATCATATTGCAGTGGGATGAGGTTTGGATGCAATGGGATGATGTTGAGCCAGAGTGTCATTATATGTCATCATGACTTGATGAGGCAATGTCACAACCTAGTAATGACTGAGCAGATCCCATCAAACAAACCACAAATATGATGGCCCTACAGGATCCCTCCACGTTCGATAGCCTGGAGTTTTAATAATGAAGTGTTTTTATTAGAAATTTCCCCCCCTCTTTAAACAATGAAAAATTGTGTTTATTGTGCCCCAATCATTTATTTGTTATTGGGAATTGGTTTAACATGCACATAAAAGTCCTGAAACAATGTAGATTCCCTAGCACATAAACAGCTTCTCCCCCATCACCTAAAATGTTGGCAAAAAATTCTCAGCTGGCCACAGATCACACATGCAACATGTGAGTGTTAATAACCTTTTCTGAGGATTTTGTAAGGGTAGGAAACAAAATTGGGTTTCTAGTGGGAAGCAAGACACAGCCTGAATTGTGGACATGCCTCTCAGCCTCTCCATGATGAATTCTACTTAAAATTAATCAATAGAAAAAAAAATAGGAGGTCTGAAAGTCAGGATCTAAAGTGCCTCAGTGTAGCTGAGTGGGATTTCTAGGACTGGAATAGCAGGTGATACTGCAGAGCAGGATTGAGATACATTGGCTGAGTTGTATGGGAGCCCAGAACAGGAAAACAGAGGGTGCTGCTGATGAGGATTAGGGTGGCTTAGCAGCAGAGGGTGCTGCAGGGTAGTGCATTGGCAGAACTGTGGGGGGAGGGCAGACCCAAGGGTGGAAGAGCATGAGTGGTATAGGCGAGATTGAGATCCACTAGCAATGCTTGGGTGGGGTCCCCCGAGGCAAAAATAGCAGGAGGTAATTTACCATTATTGCAGCCAGATAAATTCATCCCTTGTGTAACTCCATGGACTTCAGTGAAGTCACAGCTAAAGATGAATTCAGGCCACCTAAATCTTGGAGAGGGGTGACTAACATACCCCAGGGGTCAGTTCTGATTTCATATCAGTGGTACTCTGTCAGCTTCAGTGGAGTTACTCCAGGTTTACCCCAGTATAAGTATGATCAGAAAAAGGCCCCAGTTGTGTCACCTACACCACCATTTATCATTTGCCCCAGAACCTTCCATGGGAGTTGCACCCACTTCCTGAAGGTCAAACTTAGCCCTAAAGGAGTCAGAAAGGAGGCAAGGGAAAGAGGGAATGAAGGAAGGAGACAGAGATGGGGTGGGGAGCATTGCTTAGAGAAAGAAAAAGCTACACTTGTTTAGGGTTTGCGTATTCTGTCTTTGTGTTGAACTGGAGAAGGATTACAGGGCCTCTGGGCTCTAATTGCTTTTCAGGTGTTAAATAAAACCCTGACAGAACAACTACACGGCAGAGAGAGATGCCACCGGGGGAGTTAGTGTTTGGTGTGAGCTGCCAGGACCTCCCAGGGAGTCCCCACTTCTACTATCACTCACCTGAACCAGGATTTCCTCTGCCCCTCCTGGTGGGCTAGTAAATCTCTCTCACTCTCCTGAAGGGATCCGTGGCAGTGACTGAATGAAAGAAGAGGTCGGGGAAGGGGACACCACAGGCCAGACCCATGGGACCATACACAGTTCTTGATACAGAAGGGTTGGAAAGGAGCTCTTACAATGGTGACTGGCACTGCTCACCCTCCCACCCCATACATGCACACCTGGAGGGGCGGGGTGGGAAATGGGCAACCTCTTCGTCCCTCAGTGGATGTATGAATGAGAGAGAGAGAGAGAGAGATACAAAGAGAGGATAAGATAAAGCAGAGTGGGAGGATTGATTTATACCTCAAACCTACCTGTGTGCATGTATTTTTATGTGTGTGAGAGAGAGAGAATGCACCTCCCCCAGTATATACGTCCCCTGCTCTCCCCCCCAAGTTTAGGGCAAAGGGTAGCCATCTCCTTACTCTGGCAACATTTTACGATCTGTATGTGTCTCCTCCCAACCCCACTCCCCATCTCTTTCCTGTTTTGATGGAAGGAAAAAATGTTCGGCTTTCCTTCTTTATTTTTCCAGACTGGTGACTAGCATTGGAAAGGAATTTCTCTCCCCCCCATATAATAAATAATAATATATATATATATATATATATATATATGACATACATCAGAGCTCATCCTGTTGTTTTTGGATATTAATATATTGCTTTTGTTTCCTAATTGGGTGGGGCTCATTCCCCCCCCTCCCCCGGACAGCCATCCCACCCGCCGTTCCCCTTCCCCCCCCGCCACTCACCATCCTCATGTCCTTCGTCCATCCAGCAGCAGCGGCAGAGAAAAGGAAGCCTGCTGAAAAAGAACAAGGGTAAAAATAGCCCCGGCAGTTACTCAGCTCCTGAGAACATGATAACATGACTCATGATGTGAAGTAAAAATGAGGAGCGAAAAACAAAAGTGATCATCTCTTCTCTCCTCTGCCTCCTCCCCCCTCCCCCCGGCATTATTATTTTTCATGACTAAAGAGAAAACCAAATATCAATTGTGTCCCTTTTATGCCAGTGGAGATGCCTGGTTAACAGTACTGGAGTCTGAGGGCCAAAGTCATCTATGGTGTAACTCCAGTGAAGCCACTCAAGTTACACCTGAGATGAATGTGACTCAGAGGGTGAGTTCCTGCTCTCATTCAGATTTTACACCGACGTAACTAACTCCACTGACATCAGTTCTGGTTTATACCTGTGTGAGGGAGGTTGGAGTCTGTCCCTCCAGGCCTGATCTTGTTTGCGTCCATTTCCATCTGCAGTAACTCCATTGACTCCAAAGGAGCTAGGGTCAAATCTTGATCCCATTTAAAATAACGAAAGAAGCTCCCTGTGACTTTACTGGGACCAGGATTTGGCCCTGCCTTCTGCTTTACAGTGGTGGAGCTGAGCTCAGGATGCCACCCTGAAGTCCCGTTTACCAGTCGCAGAAGTGAGAGTTCTAGCTGTGCCCATGCACTGTTCCCTGCCTGTGTGGCTCAAACCCACTCTCGAGGAAACACCTCTAGCACAGAGAGGGCAGTGGGTTAATTTCCACAGCCCATTCAATGCTTGGCCCCTCTGCTGAGACTGCCAACAAGAGGCCCAGTTAGCATCAGCTGGGTTGGCGTTGGTTTTGTGCCTGTTGCCCTCTGTTCACACAGAATGCTTTACTCTGACTGTGTTTTGTACCCTCTGCTTCCTTCCCCAGCCTGAAGAAGAGCTCTGTGTAGCTTGAAAGCTTGTACCTTCTGCCAACAGAAGCGTCCTGTCATAGATATTACCTCACGTTCCTTGTCTCTCTCATATCCTGGGACCAAGCGGGCTACAACAATGCTGCAAACAACATAAATTCTGAACACACATAACCTGGACTGAGATCCCCAAGGGTAAAGTGTGTGATATAGCAGGATATGGCACAATGCAGGATAGAGGGGGCACTTGATATCTTGCAGGGTATGTAACGAGGAGGGAGTTTAAAAATAGACTCGGAGCTGAAATGCAGGAAAGAGAGAGCTGGTTATATTGAGAGATTGGTATATGTGTCCTACATACCTATGGTCTGATTCTCCAGTGTCTTGCACTTTGTATAATTATTTGCACCCATGCAAAGTGGGTGTAGAATGCTACCAGATCAGATTTCTCCACTCACTTGCACCAGGCAAAGTGAAAGGCATTGGAGAAGCAGGCCCACAGTGAACAGGGATCTCACCAGCATGATACTATCAGATCTTTTACCTCAGGAGCACAATAAGGGGGAAGAATGTCAATGAAATAGCAAGCTTTACACAGCAGCATATCTGGGGCTGCACCCAGTGTCCATTCCAGGGACACAGGAATCCAGCTCAGGTTCTTCCCCTCCCCGCAGGGGCTACACCCAGAGTCCCTTCTAGGATGAATATATTATTTTCGTTACAATTCTGTCCCACTCTTAGGAGCTGGAATAAATGGGCAGCCCCAGATTTCTCTCCCCTTCTCCCCGGCCACCTCCACTCTGGTTACTTTCACACACCATTCTGCATATGTTCCTAAATTGAATCCCCGCCTGCTCTTATCCCCTGCCCCCAGAAGATAACAATAATCCGCACCCCCCCACACACACCCCCCACAACAGATTCTGTCTGGTATGAGTCACTGTCCAAGGACAAAAAGAAAAGGAGTACTTGTGGCACCTTAGAGACTAACCAATTTATTTGAGCATGAGCTTTCGTGAGCTACAGCTCACTTAAGTACAGAAGTGTTCCAGGTCCAAACCTCCCCCTGCAACAGTTACCCTAATACCCTGTGACAGCATCACTAATACAAAGCTTCCCACCTATCCAACCCAGGACTGTTTGTCTAACAAAACCCCCAGAAAGCACATTTGACTGGCATAATATGCCCCTCCTCCACCCCTGGTGTGCCCAGACAAAGTGGCATCTCTTAGGACAAAGCTTTTTCAATAGATTGCCTGCCCTCTGCCCTCTCTCAAACAATGAGAAATCAAGGAATATTGTCCTCAGCTGAATAAAAAGATCTAAATATAGAGTGTCTGATGTATTCTTGGTTTCCTGCCCATGACTCCCCTCCCGTCCCCTGCTCCCCCGCCTCCCTCCTCGCTCTCTTTTGCTAATCTCACACATCAGTACAGAAGGTTTCAGACTGGGTGGGTGAGATCACCACAAAGACCCCGTTTCCCCAGTGATGAGACAGAGGGGATTTCCAAGGTTGATGCTGTCTCCTCCTGATTCTGTGGCAGGAGGTGGGGGCAAATGTCAGGAGCCACCGCTATTGGCCATCAGGAGGTACATAGCTCTGTTAGGTATGTATGGGAGAGAGAGAGCCCTTCTCTTCACTGTTCCCATTTCCTCCTCCACTCACTTCTGTTCTGGTCCTGGGCCACCTCCGCAGCTCTGCCAGGGTTCCTCACCCTGCGTGCAGCACTCTCTTGTATTCCAGTCCCCAGCGCCCCTACAGCTCTGCGTGCTTACCTGCAGCAACTCCTGCTATTCTAAGTCTAGCAGCCCTATACTTAGCTCCACTCACAGCACATCGGTTTTAGTTCCCCCATTCCCTCTAGTCTCCTAGAAAAGAAGTGGCTGATATGAGAAGAACAATGCAGTATCTCAGAACAAGCGAGCAAGTGGTCGCAGAGGAACTGGGGTGGGGTACTAAGTGATTTGCTGCCCATGTTTTAACCAGAGACTCCCCCAAACATTTTCTCCTTTAGCTGGTGATAACCAGGGTGTATGTCAGTGTCTGGCCGATCTCTCCATTTGTTTTCCTATTTAAACAAAAATACTTTCCCATAACCACCACCAAGGGGGCGCCAACACCTCTTTGCAAACAAGCTTGTCTGAAGTGCACCTGCAGGAAATGTTAATATTTGGTTCTGAAAAAATAGAGGGAGCGCATTGAGAGTACATCTTGGTGTCATTTGATGCAGGGGGTGCGGAGAATCAGCTTTAGCCTTCCTAAGAGATGTTTTTGAACATACCTGATGCTTGGAGCAGTTTGGGGCATGCCAGTGCATTTGTTCTGCAGAAGTATTTGTGTAAGCTCCTGGGACAAAGTCCAGCTCTGGCAGTGGCAGCAGTATCCAGGGAGAGGGTGAGCTCTATCAGATGCAGGGCAATCTCTTCAAACTCCCCCTTTGCGTTGGCCAAATTTAACAAGAGCCCCCTCTGGCATATCACTGGTTTCTGTCCCCTTCTCCAATTTCGTTTCTAGTGTGGTAAGCAGGTGGAGAATGGCTTTGAATCCAGCCAGACCCTCCTACACCTCACACTCTTTCTGTGGCTGCGTGATTTGGCAGGGGGTGTTCTTGTTTTTAATTTTTGCCAAGAATCTGGGGGCAGGCTCTTTGGAATGTTGCTTTCGTTTGCCAAGGCTGGTGTGCCAAATGCAGCAGAGGCACTGGGGGAAAGCACTGGATCCCCACAAGAGGACAGCAGCAACTATAGTCTGAGTCACGGGGGAAAAGAACCTAACTGGGTTGTGCAGGGGGTTGGGAATGATAAATGGGATATGGGGGACTGGATGCTTAGCCGATCAGAGTGGGAACCTGGAGCCTTTTATTCCTAGGTTATGAGTTCAATTCCCATCCTAGACTGGGAGGACTGGATGACTCAGGGAATCAGAGATAGGGAATGGAAATGTTCACCTCTGACTCTCCAAATCTGTGCGGGGCTGCCAGAAGGCATCAGATCACTGAGTGTACGGAGGAGGGGGGAAACTAGCAATAAGGGCTACCAGAGACAAAGCCTCCTAAAATAAGTTAAATTGACACCGTTAGCTATTTGCATGGCAGGACATCCCCAATTCTCTAGTGTGTAGGACCCACCATCTCACACCAATAGGGTGCACCATCTGGGCTGCAGATATCCACTCATTGAGCAGCCAGAGAGGAGAGAGATTTGAAAGCCAAGACACACCTGAGCAACAAACAGTTGGATTAGCTAACTTTTCCCAACCTCATCTACCTCTCCCTAGAAGGAGAGAGAGACAGAGAGAGAGAGAGGCTGCCTCCACCCCAGTAGCCTATGCCAAGTAATATTTATTTTTAAATTCACAAACAATGACCTAGCAGCTGCTCTAAGACTGGCTTTTCTATAACTGGGTGGAAATTATATATATATATATATATATATATATTAATTAGCTCATTTGAGCTAAATTTCCCTTCCCACCATTCAACATTAAGGACAGATGCCAAAATTACCCCAATCCCTTTTCCCCATCAGCAACCAGCAATTAGGAGATTTCAGAGATCCAATTTTCCCATTCCTTCACCTTGTTCTCTCCTCTCCTCATTATTTGCATAATGTATATTTGGTTGTCAATTTAAAACACTATTATTTATTATTATACGTAGAGTTCCCGTGTGCTTGGCAATTCACAGACAAAATGAAAAGACAGGGGGCCAAGTGCTGTTATAATTGAAGCCTATGGTAAATATCATGTTGTTTTCAATTGAGCCAGTCAAAATTTGCAGGGGGGGGGAATCACACGCAAAAATTTAAATTCCTTTTGCAAAAGTTTTGAATTAAAAAAAAATCAACCATTCTATTTGCTAGTAAAAGGCAGCCACAAACTTTCACAACAAAATCTCCAAAAAGTTTGCCAAGAATTTTCAACCAGATCAAGCCTTCACCAGAACTGGAATTTGGCACACAGTCCCTTTCTTGAGTAGCTAACAGACAATTTCCAGAGACTAGAGCTTCCCTACATCCTGGATCAAATGCATCTCTGATGTAACTCTGATGACATCACCAAGTGTGATTGTGGCTCAGGACCATTCAGGGTATATCTACGTTACTAAGAAAAACCCACAACAGTGAGTCAGTCTCAGGGCCTGGATCAGTTGCCTTGAGCTCATGGGACATGGGCTTCAGAGCTAAAACCAGCAGTCTAGATGTCCCCACAT